ATTGGTCTTGGCCACAGTTTTCTGTATGTAGCAATTTTTCAGATAATCTTTAAATCTAGTCAAAAGATGCATCATGAATTCCCTTGAATGTAGGCACTTACAGTTATATTGCTGCAGAGGTATGGTCAAAACAGATTTATATGTTTGCATACATGTCTTTAAAAGACGCTATCACAAAGCCTATGTCAGAACACTGCCAAAGGTATTTCCCCTGTTTTAAACTGTGTACATCATTAACTTCAGGGATTAAAGGGAATATTATGTAATGATAGGACCAGTTGCACTGTACTCTAAAGTAATTCATTTCAGGATATGTCTCTGCAACAGCATGAAGGTGTAACTGCAGCATGTACTGGTTTAATCTAGTCAGCTTGGGAAGCCTAGCAGTGAAGATAAAGTAGCATGGGCATTAGCCATGCTATCAGCCTGAGTAGAAATTCTTCACAAACCCCTTGTACATAGTCTGGTTGCTAAAACTCATGCTGCTACACCTTCCCTGCTATCCAATTTTGAAAGCAGGGACTGAAACCCAAGAATCCCCACCCCTGCCCCTCTCGGCAGACGGTCTTAGCCATTAAGATACAGAATAACATTTGCTCTTGCTTGCTCCCTGGACCATTTATGCATTATTCATTAGACTGCTCTTAGTTTAAAAAATAACAGAAATAACCCTGAAAGCAAAGAGAAACCTAGGACTCCTCAGTCCCAAGGAAATGCCTGCCTCATTGGTCTATAAAGCTCTGAAATTTCTTGCTTGCTGTCCTCTTGGCCTCACGAATCTGACACTAGGCTACCCACTGGAACAACCTTAACAACAGGAGTGGAGGGTGCCCCAACCCAGCCTAGCCCTGGTGGTTAGGGCACTCTTCTAGGAAGCTGATGACCACCTGCATGGGAAATCAGAGTGATATGAGAGCTGCAGATGTCATTGTATATGGAACAAGTGAGACTGCCCATTGCCACTGCAGGCTTACATTGTTGATACACCTTGTTTTAAAATGGCATATGGCAAGTGATTCTTCTCTTCTGTTCAGCACTGGTGCAGCAACATCTGGAGTAGTGTCCAGTTTTGGGCCCCCCACCACAGAAAGGATGCAGAAAAACTGGAGAGAATCCAGTGGAGGGCAACAACAATGGCACATGACTTCTGAGGAGAGGCTGAGGGAACTGGGCTTATTTAGTCTGGAGAAGAGAAGGCTGAGAGGGGATTTAGTATCAGCCTCCAACTATTATTTACTGGACACGTCCACATGAGATGCTAACTGCGCAGTAGCTGAATAATACTGCGCAGTAGTGTGTCACAGCACAAACAGTGCTAATACACTACTGCACAGTATCATTAGGCTGCTGCTCAGTAGCATCATTAAAAAGGCATTTGCCAGTGCTACTGCACAGTACTGCTGGTTACTGCACATTAATTTAGTACTTGATTATATAAGTACTAAACGTAATGCTCAGTAACTACAGCAAATTCATGAACATGTAGACATGCCCACTCTCTTTCACAATACAAGAACTAGGGGTCACAAAAAGAAACTAGTAGGTAGTAAGTTGCAGACTAACAAAAGAAAGTTCTTTTTCATACAGCATTGCAATTCAAGTGTGGAACTCATTGCTACCAGATGTTGTGGAAGGTAACAGGTTAGCTAGATTAAAGGGATTGGACAAATTCTTAGAAGAAAGGGCAATCAGTAAATATTGAGCATGGGAGTTAGAGATACAACGTCTGAATTAGAACTTCCTAGACCTGAAATGTTGGGGATGGGTGGGAAACCTGTTCATACCCAGTTCACTCTCCCTTTCAGCATCCACCCTCTGCCACTGTGTGACAGGATACTGAGCAAGGTAGACTTATGGTTTGACTCAGTAAATGGCAATTCTTATGTTCTAATATTCTTATGAGGAATGCAGACATATGTAAGTCCACCGCTCGTGGTCTCTGCAGGGGCTTCCAAAGTATCAATATCTGTTCTTGATCTGGGTAAGTGCAGGTGCAATTTGTTGCTGCCAAGACATTTCCATTTGGAAACTCCACCCATCAAGTGGTTAGCACATAAGTGCCTGTTAAACAAACACCCCAGGCAAGAGTCTCCTCTTGAAGTAGCTTATGCAGCCAAATGAAGCTATGTGCATGAGGCTTACTCACTTTTTCTTTCATTTCTCCCTCTATTAGAGGAGGAGACTTGCAGAAGCCTCTCTCCCGTTGAAGCTCCTATTGATTTAACTGGATTAGGGTCAGCACCTTAAATGCCCAGTGAGCCCAGTATCTCACATTCCTCTGCAGTGATTGCAGATGCCTAGCTGTGATGAGGTTGGTCAGGGGAAATGCTGTTGTGCTGTGAAGCTAAAAACCTACATCTAGTTTCCTTGTCATGGTGTCCACTAAGTTCCAATTATCCATTTTAATATTTCCCAAAGAGCTTCAGGCTTGAATAGTTTTAAGTTGTGCAGTTTTGGGTTCAAGGAAAGGATAAATGATAGAATCCTGTTACATTCATGCTGCCTCCTCCACCACCTGTTTGCCTGCTTCTTCCACAAGCACCGCCACCCTTGTGGCCATGCTGACCCATAGCCTTGGCACAAGGTCCCAAGAACGGTTTGTGCAGTTGCTATCCTGTCCTCCTTTAGAGTCCAAATCCAGACTCACCAGTCCCACAACATTGACAAGGAACTGCCAGCTGGCCACAGCCGAGATATGGTCATTTCATGTGTAAGTCATCACATTCTGGCCATTTTTTGAATTACCAATAATTGGTTTAATGCCATCTAGTTGGACATATAACAGATCTGTGTAACAACATGGTTTCTTTCACTGCTTCTCTCATCCTCTGTCCCTATCCTTTCTGTTGGTTTGTTATACCCACTTCTTTCATTTTGTCTTAGATTAAAAAGTAAGTTTTGGGAAAGAGATTCTCTCTTATTAGGTGTTTCTAATACTAGGCTGGAGACACACTGTACTGCAGAAAGGGAATAAGGACTGGCCAAGTTTTCCTTCAGAGTTCTCAGTTCTGCTTGTGAATCACAATCCTGACTTGCCACACTGCCCATGACTTGACCATTCCTCCAGTGGGCAGTAACAAGCAGTTATAAAGAATGTGAGACCTTACTCTTCCTTCCTTCCTTCCTACCTTTGCCCTTGTGGCCTTGCTGCCTTGTGCTGTAAACCTACAAAGTATCACAAGTGAGGCAGACAAAGCATCTCACTGTTTGGGTGGGACAGCTTCAACTGGAGAGAGGCTTTTGATTTTGCATAAAAACCTACATGGTGCAGAAGTTGCAGAGCCAGTGCTCCAAGGAACATGGAGCTGTGGGAGGCATTATCTGTTAGATAGCCGGCAAAATAAAGGTCCTGATTACATACGTTATGCCATTAAAGACCCTATGGCAATTGCTGCAAAGCAATACAAATGGTTCTTGCTAGCTATAAAGTTTGAGTATGGATAGAGATAACAACTGTATTGATATTAAAGGATACCAATATAAGGAACTATGATGCAGCTGTTACAGCTGCAGGATTCTGTAACAATTCACGTGTAGCAAAACTACTACCGCTTCAACCCTGTTTCATTCGAAGTCAGGATGATTTAGCTCATTTGTACTGCTACTGGCTTATGCAGACTTTGTAACAGAGGATGTTCTCTCCCAGGATAGGGACAGACATTCAAAAAACCTGAGCCTGAATTCATTCAATCTTTGCAGGTTAGTCTAACTTGGCTAAGCTAAATCACTTGGTAACTGCTCAGACCTCCCCTCTGGACTGAAAAAAAAATCAGGTACATGCCTGCAGTGGCTTAGGCTAGAAGCCAGGGAGCCTAATGGAGCTTTTTTAAAACAGCTCTTCCAAGGAAGGACATTAAGCTACCTGTTGATTAGTTCTAAAAAGCCAGTCTGCCTTTGTGCTATCTGCCACAGCACAGACTGTAGCCAGCATGTTGTCTGCTAGTTAATGCTGAGGTGTCTATGTAAGGCAGACAGGTGGGAGAATAATCCCTCCTTAACATGGAGAAGCCAGGCAGATGCTCTGTGCCTCCAAGTCTCTGGCGAGCTCCAGCCAGGAAGTAAAGAGGAGGGGTCAGCCCTGCTGTGGAGCAGAGAGCCCTGCCCAGCCCAGAGGGCATGCCAGGATGCTGGGGGGGGTCTGATCTTAAACCAGGAAGGGGTCTGGGACAGACATTGCATAAACTGGTTTGACTCAAGTCAGTTCAGTCTGATACTGCATTCAAACAGGTTTATCTCAAGCTGGTTTGAGCCTTTTTCAAACTGGTTTATGTGCACTGAACATCTGTTCTATTACAGGCTTAAACCAGTTTCTGATCACTTAAACTGGTTTATGTGTAATGTCTGTCCTCAGCCACAAGCAGCCCTCCCTTTAAATCAGTTAGAAATTATATTTGTCTATACCCTCAGGTTCATTCCCAAATGAGGTAATAGAAATCTATCCAGTTAAAACTCCCCTTGAGTTTTAGCTGCAGATGCAGTTTTCACTTGTCCTTCCCTAAACTCTTATATGGTTCTGCTTTTATGTGTTGTCTGTCACCGTGGGTGAAAAAAAATCTTTGTATTAGTAAAGCTTGTTAGAGTTATTCAAAATGATTCTCCATGTTGCATTATATTTTTTATTATTAGCATAATGTAAAGCTGCATGTAGCTCTGCAGTAAGCACTTTTTAAAAACTGAATTCATCTGCCTGTAATATTTTAACAGTATGAAACAATTTTAAGCAATTAAGGGAGAAAGTGATTGTAGGCAAACAGATACAGCATGAAAACTTAAAAAAACCCAACCCTTGGGCTCTAGTTCTCTCAACCCTAGACCTAGGCAAAACATGACCCTGTTATTTGACCCACAAGTGACTCCATTTCCCCTTGACAAAACTGGTCTAATGCTGACTTGTCAAGGGAAGTTATGAAGTTTACTTGTGTTATAGTCCTGAAACACTTCAGGCTTCTGAGATAAAAGGTTTAACTTAAATACAATGTATTATTACAGGGTATGCTCACATTAGGCAGGTCCTCACATGCAGGGGCTTGCGTTATAGGCTGCATCCAGACCTTCACATTTAGGTGTTTCCCGTGCTGCCACCTTACAGTGCAAGGGGGGAGTTTGACCCGTGGTGATCTAGGGGTGAAAAAAAACAGCACATTAAAAAAAAGAGGAGCGGCACACTTGGAGGCAGCATGAGCTGCCCCAAACTAGAGCCTGGCCAGCTACAGCCACAATCTGGCTGCTACCTTGGCTGCAAGCTGCAGCTTCCCTGGCCCCCAGGTAAGGCTGCTGGGGCCAGCACAGTTGCTGGCCCCAGCCTCCCCTACCCCACCTGGGGTAACCTGCCACAAGCCAGAGGGTGCATGGCACAGGAGTTCCCCAGGGACAACTAGCAGTGTGCAAGGTGTGCCGCTGATAGGTGTCCCTGGGGAATCAAAAGTCCATGCGCGTCTGGATGCCACCATAAAGGCGCAAATAGCAGTGGCACAATTCATGCTGCTGCTGTGTGCACCATCACACACTCCTGCACATGGACTTTGGCACACAGTGAATGATCTCAGGTAGGGGTAGGGGAGGCTGGCCCCAGCAGTGTTACCTGATGTCATGGTGCACAGATCCAGCAGCACAGAGCCTGCCCAGCAGCCAAAGTGTTGCTCTGGATGGCCAGCCCTCCATTTGTTCCAGTGTGTACTACAAATGCATGCTAAGAACCACGTTTTCCCCCCAAGTCTTTTTTTTTCCTAGTGGGATTTCCTGGTACCAAATGTTGCCACCGCTCTGCACATTTGCAACGCAGCACATGTTTTCACATTCCCTGCGTGCAGTTTGTGGTGCCACAAACTGCACACCCCTGCATGTGGGAACCCGTTCATTGGGAGCACATTTTTATGACAAACCATATGAAACAGAGAGAACAGAAATGCTGACCCAACTTTCATTCACTTGGCTGCAGAGAGTGGGCAGAGGGGCTCCTTTTATATTGTTTACTTCAAACAAACAACTCCTGTGAGCCTGGGAGTCTCCCGTGGAAACTAAATGTAAGAACCAAAGCCCTTTTCATGGGTATTTTTATTTTAAATCCACATGAATCTTAAATTCATCATGTGGAGAGAATGTGGAACACATCTCTTTTTTTTCCATGTAACGCTCACTTTCCCACAATGGATAAAAATCATTTTCTTATACAGATTTGTCTGTTCATTCACCCAAGGGTAACAAAATAGCTCAGAGGCAGGAACACCCTGTCCCAGATCCCTGCCAAAAAGAAGGACTCACTCTTGGGGGTTCCTATGAAAAGCTATGCTATTTCAGACAAGGGTACATGTGTGGCCACCTACACACTACCTCCCTTGCTCCTAATTCCTTAGCTATTGCTCAGCACTGAGTAATAAGCTCTAGCAACGTGATTCACACGAGCCCCAGAGTGTGTGCCAAGCTGTTGTCACTACCCCTTCCAGGTTTTAGGGAAAGTTGTGTGGGTGGGGGAAGTCCACGTTTTAATCTGAATGTCTGATCAAATGTTGGAATAAAGATTAAGCACTTCATACATTTTAGTTAGAGCTCCTGCAACTCAAAATACAACTCAGCTCTTTACCAGGGCAGTTATTAGCATAACAAAGTGTTTGTATGTTTTCATGGAATTGATTTTCACTGTTGTAATGTGCAAAGGATAAAGATTTTAACAATAAGAAAATAAAACTCTCATAACAGTAATTGAAAACCAAACCCCATGAGAGCTGTCATAATGGGTGAGAAGTACAGTGAAGCAATACACAAGAAAATCTTTGTCATTAATAGCGAATACAGAGTGCAATGTGTTGCTAGTAAGGCAGGGATTGTAGGAGGCAGGCATTACAGCAGTGCAAAATGTGCAGCTGCCCAGGGCTCTGAGCTGGGCAGAGGCCCAGGTTTCATTCCAGTTATGTGTTGCAACAGACTGTCAGTAAAACTAGGTTGGAGCAGAAGTCTGCATCAAAACCTTTGCAAACCCAACCACTGAGAGGTGCGAGACCTGGATGATGCCTTGGGGAATTGGCTTCTGCCCCTGGCTCACAGTTACAATGTGAGGTAAGACAAGTCAATTAAAACAAACTTTGCACAGTTGGGCACTAACCACATGTCCCTCATTTTATGAGTACCCAGCCCAAGGCCCTGCAGTCCACTTTTACAGCAGTGCTGAGCACTCACTGATATAACTAAAGTAAATGGGAACTATGATTTGATTATCTAAACTGCTATAAAATACCAGGTCCCCTGAGTCCTGGCCCCTTGCTTTTTTGTATTTCAGCACAGTAACTCAATATTAGCAATCCCAGGTGATCAAGAGTCATAAACTACACACCCCGGCATAGCTAAAATTTGCTACAAGGTTGGAATTTGGCCTGCATTTGTTCCAGCCTCACAGCTTCAGTCTCAGTCAAAATCCTTTTACTTGCAGACAGAGAGAGAGAGAAAAAATTGGCCACGTTATTGACCCCTTCTCCTTTTTCCTAAGTATCTACCCCATGATTATCAAGCCCTGCCTCTTGTGCCTATCCATCCTTCTTCTCTGTCTATAGACAGAATGTTCTCAGAGAAGGTGGCATCTTCAGGGACCTAGCTGCAAACTCTGACAAATCTTCAATGAGGCTTATAACATGTCCAATTTTATTTACATGGGTAAAACAATGTATTTTCCCCCTAGTGTTCAGTCTTCACATGTAAAAGGGAGTGCCCAAACAGTAAAACCTTTAGCTTTTTTTTCTTCTCCTTCATATGTAGTCCTCTCTCATTAAACATTTCCTGAAGGTAGAATCCTTTATGTTCCCAAATATCCCCTATATATACTTTGAAGCAGTAAAACAGTACAAACATCTTTTTTGTCATATTTATTTGAGATTGCAAAATATAAACACAAATACCATAAGCCTCTAAATTGGCAATATTTTATTTACTCCCTTAAGATTTGTATCATATATCTTATTTTATAAGATATATGATATGAAGGAAGGCTATCAACATGGTCTCTCACCCCATTCTCAGTAAGAAACTAGGAGAAAGTGGTGGTGATACCTACACGGTCAGATAGGTCACTAACTGGCTGGAGGGCCGCACCCAGAGGGTGCAGGTGGACGGGACTTATTCGGCCTGGAGGGATGTGGGCAGTGGGGTTCCCCAGGGCTCGGTCCTCAGGCCCGCACTGTTCAATATCTTCATCAGTGACTTGGGTGAGGGGATAGAAAGCCTGTGTTCAAGTTCACAGATGACACTAAGATGTGGGGTGAAGTGGGTACGCTAGTAGGAAGGAACAGGCTGCAAGCAGATCTAGACAGGTTACAGGGGTGGGCCGATGAGAACAGGATGGGGTTCAACACTGGCAAGGGCAGGGTAATGCACCTGGGGAGGAAGAACCAGCGGCATACCTACAGGCTGGGGAATTCCCTTCTCGCCAGTGTTGAAACAGAAAAGGATCTTGGAGTCATCACTGATGCCACAATGAACATGGGCCGACACTGTGGGGACGCGGTCAGGAAGGCCAACCGCACCTTGTCGTGCATCCACAGATGCATCTAAAGCAGGTCCAAGGAGGTGATCCTCCCCCTCTATGCAACACTGGTCAGGCCTCAGCTGGAGTACTGCGTCCAGTTCTCGGCACCGCACTTCAGGAGGGATGTGGACAGCATGGAGAGGGTCCAAAGGAGGGCCACACGCATGATCAGGGGTCAGCAGGGCAGGCCCTATGAGGAGAGGCTGAGGTACCTGAACCTGTTCAGCCTCCAAAAAAGAAGGCTGAAAGGGGATCTAGTGGCAGTCTACAAACTAGTCAAGGGGGACCAGCAGGCATTGGGAGAGTCCCTATTCCCCCGAGCACTCCCGGGAGTTACAAGAAACAACGGACACAAGCTAGCGGAGGGTAGTTTCAGGCTAGACATTAGGAGGCGCTATTTCACTGTCAGGGCAGCTAGGACCTGGAACCAACTTCCAAAAGAAGTGGTGCTGGCTCCTACCCTGGGGGTCTTTAAAAAAAGGCTGGACAAACATCTGGCCAGGGTCGTTTGACCCCAGTACTCTTTCCTGCCATGGCAGGGGGTCGGACTAGATGATCTCCTGAGGTCTCTTCTGACCCTACCAACTATGAAACTATGAAACTATTTTAAATTACTATTTTTATTTTTGTATTACTTTAGCATCTGTGAGCCAGAGTCATAGATCAAGATCTTGTTATGCTTTATAGTATAACAACACCAAAAGAAAAAGATAGCATGAATCAGCCAGTTCACACAGTTTGGCATCATACTGATTTGTTGCTTCTCCATATTCCTGACCAGAGTTGTTGAAAAGAGCCTTTTTATGTTTGATATTCTGTGTGGTTTTAAAGTGCTTCTAGGATTTTATATGGGTCCTTCTCGTCTGTGGCTGTGTGCAGAAGCTGCTGGCAGCCAACGTGCATTACATTTAAGTATGTGATTTCTCTTATTTTGCCTTCTTTCTAATTCAATCCCATTTTTAATTTCAAAGGGTTTTTTTCATTTGATCTAAAGACTGCCCATTTGTTGAAGTCACCCTCTTGCATGTCCCTCTGTCTGGAGACAGAAAATTGGCTTGGTGAAATGATTACTGTTTTCGCATTATCGTTGTTGGGTATTGTTTCCCTCAGCATTATTAGCTTCTGATTCCTCATGCCTACAACAGCCAAGTCATTTTTTACACCAAATATAAGAGAGGTTCAAAATAGTTCATTGTTCCAGCTCTATTTGTTCCACCAGGCCTGCCGTTGTTTCTCAGCAAGCATGTCCTGAAAGAAGAGTTTTCTACATTCCAAGACATTGGCTTTTATTAACAGGCTATTACTCCCTCTGTTGGCAAGCTACCTATTATACCTCTTATCTTCTTTCCCAGAAAAGATGAACCGTTTTCACTGAAACTTAAAAAGCTGAGGCACTCTCCCAGAAAGGCACACTGCAGCCTGAACAAAGCCTGGCAAAGTTATATATGACAGAAAACATTTCTTATAATGTAGAGTGTTAGGAAACCTTAACAACTGACAGGGGTATCAGCTCCAGCTATAATGAAAAGTACTGGATTAAAATGCCTTGGCCCAACAATTGAGTACATGCAAGCAGTCCTTGTAACACAAACTACATTGCCTGGTT